TCGGGCGTGGGTGCTGGCCTGGGGCAGTAAGGGTCCCGTAGAGATGGGGTGCCCCCGTAGCGAGATCTGGGGTCTGCCTCGGGCTCCCAGCCCTGTGGGGGTCACCCAGCCCCACTCCACCTGTGTGTCCCCCTCCCACCACTCCTGGTGGCTGTAGGGTCGCAGAGCCACAGTCCTGGGTCCCCACCGGCCGCTCGGTGCCTGTGGAGGGAGAGCTGAGGACAGGGGCGGGGAGGAGCTGAAGGGGGGGGGGATATCAACCTCACACCGAGCTGCAGAGGAGAGGGGACTGTGTGTGGACAAGGTGCTTGGCCTTGGTGAAGAAATGGGTTGGGTGTTTGATTTTTCTCGTTTTGGAGAACTCTCCCCGTCTCCGTTGCTAAGTCTGTGTCATATTTACATATCCAAGCAGTCTACTGTTCGTGTTTTTTACGTTTCCACTAAAATTTTAAAGATGTTTGAAGATTTGTCCCCTGCTGGATTTGTCCCCCCCCCCGCTCCCCGAGGCAAATTCTATTCGGCCTGCTTCTAAAATTAATGCAGTGAGCAGCTTATGGAGACCTTAAAACCCGTGCTTTGAGTTTTTCCTAATTGTCCTGGTCCTGAAAATTCATACACACAAAGGAAGAGAAAGATACTCAGAATTCCTCCAATTACAGCTGGGACACCCACAGCCAATTGATTCTAGTAGGGAACTCGACTATCTTAATTACAATCTTAATTATAATCCTTAAATAATGTTTTAATCTTTAAATTTACTATTCTCCATTCCCTGTAAACGGGGGTGGGGGGACGGACAAAAACTTTCAGGTCTTAATGTGGAGCCTGGGACTTAAAAAAAAAAAAAAAAACTAACAAAATGCTGCAGTTTCTTTTCTTGCCAAGACAGAATACAGAAATTGATCTTTTGTTTGCAAGGCCAGGACAAGTTGCAGGTCGTTTATTCTTTCAGAAATTGTGTCAAAATGTGTGATTAGCATTCTGTGCTGGGAAAATCTCAGTTGTATTTCTTCCTTGGTTTTGGCAGAGTCTCCAGATAGGTGTTTTAAAATAATAGAAAATGTCCCTGCACATTGCAAATGCCAAAGGACTTCTTAGGATTGCCTCAGACAGGGTGTCAGCAACGGTGGCACTGTGCTTAATTGTGTTCTTTCTGGAATGCTATAGAAAGGGTGAACCTGCTGTTTAAGGAGAAGCTATAGCAGCAAGCCCAGGAAGCGTGCTGGCTCCCTCTGCAAATGGTTTAAAACACACACACACACACACACACACACACACACACACAACTATCCTGCGTTCACAGAGAAGAACAGAGACTAATACAAAGTGAGTTTAAAGCATATTCTACAATCTACTGAATTACAGGTCTACATGGCCAGGCTTGTGTTATAATTGTTTCATTCCTAAAGGAATTTGTATTTTTTTTTCTATCAGGCTTTTCATAAGGTAGTTAGCTAAATGCATTTTAACATATGGTTTGCAATGATACGGGAGAAATAATGGCCTAAAAATGAAATGTTTCATTATTGAGGATCCTTTTGTTTCAAGCAATCTTCCATCCCTTGTAATTATTTTGGTTACATAGTTACAATCTATGGTTTTGCAAAAACCAGTCAAATATTTTTTCTACGTCATTTAACTGTTTCACTAAATAAAATGTTTTGAAACATTTTCATGACTTTACTTGCTAAGCACCATTCATTTATCTTAAAGTTATTTTAATCATCATAGAACAATTCTCTGTTTGTTCATATTTTACGAATGAGTGCTCTTTTGGAATTCTTTAACATATTAGCTTTCAAGTGTAGTGGGTTTGTAATGAGGTCATGCTTTACACAGTTTTACGGCTAGTTTCACACACTGAAATATAAGAAGGTCAAGTGACTTGCCCAGGATCTTCCTGAGAGTCGGTGATTGGGCATAAACTAGAGCGTGAGTCTTTGCTTGGGGCTCTAATATTAGATTGTATATTAGTGTATATCTGAAAATTTAAAGATACAATGTTAAATATTTGCCTATTTCAGAGGTCAGGCTTTCTGGCTCACAACTTAGTATTTGTGTTGCAGGGA